TTGAGTGTCTGCCCTCTGCTGGTCAGTGTACATCATAGCAACTGGTCTTTCAGTAGTTCAGTTGTTTATGCTTTTATATATTATAGACCTAAGAGGCCCCAGTGCAACAAAAAATTGGTGCACTCGGCGGGGAGGGGGGGGTCCCTCAGCCCGCCTGTGCCCTCTCGAAGTCTGGGGACCCCTCGGGAGATAACGACCTGCTGGCTTAGGCCTGCTCCAGGGTGGCAGAGGGCAAGCCCAATCCCTAGGTGCAGCCCCTGGTCGGGTTCAGAGCAGGGCCGATTGGGGAGTTGGGGCGCTGCCCCCTGTCATGCACAGAGCAGAGCGGATTGGGAGGTTGCGATGCCACCACCAGTCATGCTCAGGGTAGGGCCGATTGGGGGGTTGGGGCACCGCCCCATGTCACACTCAAGGCAGGGTCGATGGGGAGGTTGTGGCACCACCCCCTGTCACGCGAAGCAGGGCTGATCAGGGGGTTGGGGCGCTCCCCCCTGTCATGCACAGAGCAGGGCCCATCAGGGGGGTTGGGGAGCTCCCCCCTGTCATGCACAGAGCAGGGCAGATAGGGGAGTTGGGGCACTGCCACCTGTCACACACAGAGCAGGGCCGATCAGGGGGTTGGGGCGCCGCCACTCTCACACTCAGGGCAGGGCTGATGGGGAGGTTATGGCTCTACCCCGTCACACACAGAGCAGGGCCCGTGGGGTGGGGGGTTAGGGCCCCACACCCTGTCACACACAGAGCAGGGCCGATCAGGGGGTTGGGGCGCTGCAGCCTGTCACACACAGAGCTGCAGGGCAATCAGGGGATTGGGGAGCTCCCCCCTATCAGGCACAGAGCAGGGCTGATTAGGGGGTTGGGGCGCCTTCCCCTGTCACAAACAGAGCAGGGGGGATAGGGAGGTTGTGGCCCTGCCCCCTGTCACACACAGAGCCGCAGGGCGATCAGGGGGTTTGGGTGCTGCCCCCTGTCATGCTGATCCCGGTGCCGGGAGGCATATTACCCTTTTACTATATAGGTTAGAGGCCTGGTTCACAGGTGGGGGCCCGCTGGTTTGCCCTGAAGGGTGTCCTGGATCAGGGTGGGTGTCCCCACTGGGGTGCCTGCCCAGCCTGGATGAGGGGATGATGGCTGTTTGCAGCTGGTCACACACCCTTCAGGGTGGGGTCCCCACTGGGGTGCCTGGCCAGTCTGGGTGAGGGGCTGAGGGCTGTTTTCAGGCTGGCGGGTGACTGAAGCTCCCAACCACTCCTTTTTTTCTTTTCTTTTTTTATTCTGGGCCAGCTTTAGCTCTGGCTCCAGCTCTGAGGCTTCTGCTGCTGAAAGCAGGTATCTGGTTTGTTTGGGTTCTATAATTGATACACTGTATCAACTCCAGCTCTGAGATCCCAGCTGGCTGAAAGTGGGTTTCTGGGGTTTTGTTTAGCTTCTATATTTGTTACAATGTTTCAAACTGCAACCTCAGAGGCCAGCAAGGCAGGCAGGGAACGTTGGAGTCCTCCGTCACTGAAGCAAGCAAGCCTCATGTTCGCTTTAAGCTGCCTGGCTGCTGGCCGCCATCTTGGCTGGCAGTTAATTTGCATATCACCCTGATTAGCCAATGGGAAGGGTAGCGGTCGTACGCTAATTACCATGTTTCTCTTTTATTAGATAGGATAAACAGAGTCAACCAGTTAGAAATTGGTGATGAATGAATGAACATATTTTCAGGCCGGAACATTTCTTGTAGTTATCTGCAGTGGTAGTTTAAAGAATCATTTAAAATAGCACTTTCTTATACAAAGCACTAATTATAAAGAATATGTGCACCCCTATGTTCATTGCAGCATTATTTACAATAGCCAAGGTATGGAAGCCACCCAAGTGCCCACCAATAAACAAGTGGATAAAAAAGTTGTGGTACATATAAACAATGGACTATTACTTGGCCATAAAAAATAAAGAAATCTTACCTCTGTGACAGCATGGATGGACCTAGAGGGTATTATGCTAGGTCATATGATTCACTCACACTGGATGGCTATTGATGTGTTGGCTGTTGTCAGATTTTTTAAAAAAATAAAATATTTATATTGACTTTTTACAGAGAGAGGAAGGAGAAGAGATAGAGGGATAGGAACATTATCCATCAGCTGCCTCCTCTACGCCTCCTACAGGGGATTGTGCACACAACCTGGGCATGTGTCCTGACTGGGAATTGAACCAGTGACCTCTTGGTTCCTGGGTCAGTGCTCAACCATTGAGCCACATCAGCTGGGCTGTTATGTTTTTATTTGACAATCTAAGGGAAAAAAGATCAGTGTCCCTGACTAAGTAGTCAGGTATTGCATGTTTTAAAAATTCTTGTGGCACTCCAGTGTGCCTGTTGTGGCACACTAGTTGAAAATCAGTGAACTAGCCAATCTGGCTTTAACCCATAATCTAAGTACATGCCCTGACTGGGAATTGAACCATGACCTTTCAGTCTATGGGATGACACTCTAACCTCCAACCAACTGAGCTATACCAGCCAGGTCTCTATGTCTTTTGTTTAGAGAATTTAATCCATTTATGTCTAGGGTATTTATTGGTAAGGACTTATTAATGCCATCTTATTAATTGTTTTCTGGCTGTTTTGCAGTTTTCTTGTTCCTTTCTTCTTTACTTTCTGCCTTCCTTTTCTCTAGTCTTATTCTTGTATTCTCTTCTCTTTATCTTTTGTGTATTTGTTGTAAGTGTTTGCTTTGTGGTTACCATGAAGTGTACATAAAATATCTTATGGCTATACAGGTCTATTTTACACTGATAACAACTTAACTTCAATCATGTACCAAACCTCTACCCTTACTAGATTTAATGCACCACCATATTACAGTATTAAAGTATTCTGAATTTAACTGCATGCTTATTCTTTTCCACTGCATTGTATATTTCCATGTTGTTAATTAGTGCCATTTTATTTCAGCCTGAAGACCTCTTTTCAGCATTGTTGTACAGCAAGTTTAGTGGTAATGAACCCTATCAGCTTTTTTCTTTTAATCTGGAAATGTCTAACTCTCCTTCATTTGTGAAGAACAAGTTTGTCAGACAGATACTATACACCATCTTATTTCATCTCAACAGACATTTATTCAAGCAGTCTCTAAACTCTACTATATTGTATTTGGTTCTTGTTCAATGTTCTCTCACATTACCTTGTTCTTTTCCTTTATAAATTCTTCAGAATTTATAATTCTATGTTTGTCAAATTATTTTATACACATGGCACACACATGTATATTTCTCCCCGAAAGTGTAAGTTTTTTAGTCAATGAATGTATTTGTTTTCACATTATGTAAATACACTCAGAACATATAGTATGGTAGGTATCACAACACTGGTATTCAATAACCATTTTTGCATTAGTGATTGAATTAGTGAATATCTTGACACAGTTTGGTGCTTAGTCCAGCCAATAATAAAGAGAATGTGATTTTGATTTTCTTTGCTATTATTCCTTGTAGCATACACACTCTTTTTTAAATTTATTTTTAGAGAGAGGAAAGGGGAAGAGAGACTGGGAGAGAGACAGAGAGAGCACGAAGGAGAGAGCATGAGAGAGGGACATCAATGTGAGAGAGAAACATTGATTGGTTGCTTCATACACACACCCAGACAGGGGATCAAACCCACAACCTAACTATGTGCCTTGACTAAGGAATCAAACCTGCAACCATTTGGTGCATGGGATGACGCTCCAACCAACTAAGCCACCTGACCAGGGCAGCATACACATTTTTTAGGGTTATGTTTATGAGAGGCTCTGTGGTCTAGAGTAGAATTTGGATACTGAGGGTTTCCTAAGTGTGATAAAAATTTGGAAAACCTTCAAAACCAACATATTTTCAAACAGAACGTTTCTCTGCCTTTATTTTGGCTTTCTCCAAATACTTAAATTTTTTTGAACTATGGAAAATTCACCTATATAAAGTAATAGAGAGAACAGTGCCATGTATCAACAGCCCATCTTTAACAATGACCAATTCATGGGCATTTTGTATGTCCACTATTTAATCTTACATGCTCACTGCATTATTTCCATGATAATCTCAGGCATCATGTCATTCTGCTCATAAATATTTTATTATAAAAATCTACCATATAATGGCTTTTTAGAAACAACACCATGTCGTTACCACACCTAAAATTAGGTAAATAAGCCCTTCACACAGCAAGTGTTCAGTTTTTCTGATTGTCTCAGAAATATTTTGTAACAGTTCTTTTGCTGGAATATGAGTCCAAACAAAGCCTAGCATTTGGTTGATACGTTTCTCCAGTTTTTTAAATGTATGGTTTCACTGTTCTCTAGTCTTCCTTGCAAGCTAATTGCTGAAGAAACAGTTGTTTGCCGAGTGGAACTGCCCCTGCTCTGGATTTTGTTAGTGGCATCCCTGTGATGTCATTTACTATGAAATTGTGTCCTGGGCTCCAGAAAGTAATACTAACACCAATTATTAACACCTTTTGACTGCTGATGATGTGCCTTTTAAAGTGTTTGATGTGTAAGAAAAAATGTAATCCTTCAAAATCCCTAGTTTCTATGCGGTAAATACAAGCATGATGTATTTTATGTAATTTTAAAATCATGTGACCTTTAAGTAGTATGATAGTACATATTAATAAAGCCATACTTTTTATACAAAATATAAAATAATTTAAATAAATAAAATAATTTACAAAAATCATAATTCAAAATAATAAGGACTGATTTTCAACTTTGGTTATGGTAATGTTATATGATGATTCTCCTTTTAATTTCTAGATGATAAAAAAATAATTGCTCTTATTTTTATTTTATTTATTTATTTTTTAATATATTTCACTGATTCTCTACAGAGAGGAAGGGAGAGGGACAGAGAACCAGAAACATCGATTAGAGAGAAACATCAATTAGCTGCCTCCTGCACACCCCCCACTGGGGATGTGCCCGCAACCAAGGTACATGCCCCCGACCGGAACCGAACCCAGGACCCCTCAGTCCGCAGGCCTATGCTCCATCCACTGAGCCAAACCGGCCAGGGCTGCTCTTATTTTTGGAGTTAATTTTACTTTTAAAATTATATGAAAATTTAAAAAATAAATCCCTTTAATAAAATGCAACTAACAATAAGTTTGTTTTTCCAAGTACTTCATGGGAAGGAGTCTGAGTAGGGTAGCATTTGTATATTTCTGGGACACTGGTCATAATGACATTCAATGTAACCCTTATATTACAGTAACACACACACACACACACACACACACACACACACACACACACACCTCCAAAATGCCGAGTTCTTACCTCATGAATCATTGAAATGTGAAACTCTTCTCAGCACTTTTGTGCATTTTCAGGTGACCTATATATTTTTCCTTACTAATATTTTTATTTTATACACTTGGGATCATAATTGCTGATCTTTTTTTTCTTTCCTCAGTGACTTTATTTTATAGTAACTTTACATTCACAGCAAAATTGAACAAGAAATACAAAAATTTCTGTGTACACCCTGTCTTCACAGGCACAGCCTCCTGCATTGTTAACATTCTCCACCAGAGTGGTACATCTGTTACAACTGATGAGCCTACATTGACACATCATTATCACCCAGAGTCTATGGTTTACATTAGAGTTCATTCTTGCTGTTGTACATTAGATGGGTTTGGGCAAAGGTGTAATGACAGGTGTGCACCATTATGGTGTCATCAGAATTTTTTTATGGCCCTAAAAATGCTCCATTCTCTGTTATTTACACTGTCATGATGTTCTAGTTCTGATTCCCTGCAAGGCCTAAGCTGCAGTCGGAAATCCTTAGCGCTGCTGAGGAGGCAATCAGATATCCCTCTGGCAGCCCGGCAGCCCTCAGAGGATGCCCACTTGCCAGCAGGGAGCAGACCTAAGCTGCAGTCAGACATCCTTAGTGCTGCTGAGGAGGCAGGAGAGGCTCCCACCACCACCGCTGTACTGGCAGCCGTCAGCCTGGCTTGTGGCTGAGCAGAGCTCCCCCTGTGGGAGCGCACATACCACCAGGGGGCGGCTCCTGCATTGAGCATCTGCCCCTTGGTGGTCAGTGTGTGTCATAGTGACCAGTAATTCCCAGTCGTTCTGCTGTTAGGGTCAATTTGCATATTACCCTTTTATTATATAAGATTACAGTTGACAGTTGTTATTGTTTTATATTAGTCTCAGGTGTACAGCATGGTGGTTAGGCATCTATGTAAAAAATCATGAATGCTTCGCTAATTTGCATGTCATGCTTGTGTAGGGGACATGCTAATCTCTGTGTTGTTCCGATTTTGGTAAATGTGGTGTTGAAGGAGCACTAGTAAGGTATTTGTACACCATCTTAAGGCACTGCCTGCCTATCAAAATTATTCAAATTCTGTCAATACCTCTGCAAAGTAAGCATATTCCCACATTGTGGTTGAGAAAAATATGGCTCAGAATGTTAGATACTTAACCCTAGTGTTACACAGTTCAAATACTAGCTATAAGGTACTGGATTTGGATTTAGGTTTCTTTGATCCGAACTATACTGCATCAATTATTCTGTTAGTATCTGTCTCTCCCAGTTACATTTTGAGCTCCTGGAGGCAGATGGCACAGACAGGGACAGCCTCACACACCCTGGGGCTGTTCCACACACCATCCCAGGTGCAATGTGTGGAGCAGTCATACCGGTTGGAATGACTGAGGCAACGCGGGGAACACAGTTGCAAAGGGCAATGGCTCCACGTTGGGTCATGCACATGCTCAGGTGTGAAGTGTTGGACGCACCTGGAGAGCCAGAGCATCCCTCTGTGGGTCCATCTCCCTGCCAGGGTTTCTACTGGGAGACAGTGAATCCAGAGCAGGCCAGCACCCACGGTGCTGCATTACCTGGACCCGGGCATTTTCTCCCTCACAGGCTCCCCTTCCTTAGCCAGGAGCAGAGGTAATGGGCTGTTCTGCTGCTCCCGGGTACACAGGGACATGGGGATTCTGTGAGCCTGATTGGGCTTACCTGCCTGGACACACCCTGCAGCCACATTCACTCCGTGTCCCTCACATGCCAGGATGGCACAGGCAAATCCACAGGTTAGCCAGCATGACTCATCCAGGAGGTGAGGCAAGCTACACCTGCACTCTAGGGACCCCTATGTCTGTGGTTTCTACTCTCACCCCTTTCCCACTGGTTACTAACCCTAAGTAAGGGCAAAGCATTATTGCCTCATTCCAATGTCCTTCTGACTGACTTCCATTTCTTCTCCTGCCTAGAGAATTCTTATCTCCTTAAAGGTAAAGAGAAGAGAGAAAGTTTCTAATATCATCATTAACTTTACAAATTTAAAGTTTGAGAAGAAATTTTTGACTTTTTGGTACTTTTGCAATTCAAATTTCCTTTTCCCTAATGTTCCTGTCATAACGTTTGAAAGCTGTATTACAGTAAGTATGGACTTCCTTCTTGGTTTTGTATTTCTGCTGAACAAAACTGCACCAAAGGAAAAGGTATATATGATCTTCACAGATGTCTGAATTGGGGGTATGGGAGAGGCATTGGCCAAGAGGGGAACCAAATGAAGAAAGAAATCTTAATCTCATCTAATATATCAAAATATTATCAATCTACATTTGGTTTCTCTTATGTTAGTGGACATGAAATTTGATCTGTAAACACACATGAGAGGGGCGAGCAGCAAGAGGGTTAGGCAGAAACCCCCATGGGCAGCCTCAGCCCTGAGATGAAAGAGAGGTAAAAATTCAACAAAAGTCCTCACAAAGGCGAGTGGTTGCTTTCAGAGAGATATCTGATCAGTCTCTCATGGACTGAGCCCTATCCCAGAGGTCTTCATCGTAGGTAAGGGTAGTCAAAAGAAAAAATGTCAGGAGAGAGGGGGAGAATTCCAAGGGGTGG